TAATAATGTACAAATATATATAACAAATAAATACTTTACCTTAAAATCATTGTCAGATAGCTCTTGTGGATCAGGCAATTGATCTAAGAGTTTTTCTATTAATGTATTTATATCAAATATACCATCAAGGAATATAGGTTCCCAAAAAGATTTATTATATATTGGTAAATAGACAGCGTTTGTATCATAGGATATCTTGTCATGACACTCGTCATTCTTACATGTAAACATTTTTACATCAATTAGTTTGTCCTGAAAAAAAAAACATATTATTAGGCTGTCTAATAATCACAACGTCATGATAAAATGACACCACGCTTACAAATGTAGCCGCTACTTTAATCCTTTCGTCGGAGGTGAAACAATTCTGTTGATCATTGCATATAAATATTAACACAGGCATTTTCTTTACAATTTTGCCACTTAAGTACTCTTTGAAATGAAATTCACTTAATTCATGTATATGAACATTTAGTCTATCTAATACAAAACGTGTGATGACTTCCTGTGTTTTTTCTCCTCTGTAATGCTCCCCGTGCTGTGAATTCTTTGAGGCAAAAGATGAATTAGTAATTCTTATTGATTTAATCAACAAATATCATCCGTAAAAATATGAAGAAATATATAATTTCCTAAAAATTGTACAGAGTCTAAGATTCAACTTCTCTTTAAAGAGAAATTGAGCTCTCTCTTTCTCCCCCCCCCTCTCTCTCTCTCTCTCTCTCTCTCTCTCTCTCTCTTTTTACATACCTTTTGAAAATAGAGCAACGTAGGATAGACACGGATTCCTATTTGATGACATAATTGCCAGTTATATTCACAATTAACTGCTGAAATTTTTACAACGCCATCAAGTAACTTAGCAATTTCCTTCCAAGTCGGTGCTAAGTGATGACAGTGGCTGCACATTGGAGAGTAAAAGTTTACAAACCAGCTTGAATGAGAGTTAATAACACTTTCATCTGCACACAGAGATATATATATGCATAATATTAATACTCAGTTTAGTTCTTAATTTTTAATATTTAGCAATTTAACATTAATATATTTCATATTTTCATTTCATATTTAATGACAAGCATAAAGAAAGTTATTATATACTCACAATAATCATTTTTTCCCAAATTAATAACATATTTGTCATCATCATATATAAAACTGTTTTGATAGTAACTCCAAGAATGATAGGTTTGTTTCTTATGAGATTTATTAAGACCATCTTCTCCATAAAGATCATATTTATGTCTTAAGTCACTGTCCTTTAATGTCTCATAGGCTGTTGTTAATTTGACAAATTTATCATGAGCGTTTGGATCGTCCTGGAAAATATCAAAACTTTATGACAATATAACACAGCAGAGAAAACAATAATGGTATACTGTATTCTAATTCACATACGCTATTTTTGTCAGGATGATAAACAATAGCTAGCTTCTTAAAAGCCTTTCGGATATCATCCTGATCAGCAGTCTTGTTTATACCAAGGATCTCATAATAATCTTCTCCTCGTGTTAAAGAAATAATAACAATGAGATTAACAATAACTTTATACCTGTAACAAGAACAAATATGACTTACATATAAAATTATTAAATTATAATTAGAATTTATAAAGTCAGATTCTATTCGATATTATTACTCAGTATATTAATAATATAAAAGCATACAGAGAGAATTATCTCCATATTTAAACAGTACGTGGCAAGTGAAAATAAGTCTTATGAATTCTCTAAATTTATAGGAACTGCAGTATCAGTTTATAATAACAAATTTTTTGTTAATATAGCTTTAATTTAGATAATATACATACATTTTTAAAAAGATTTATACCGGCTATGTTGCAATAATAATTTAGTGCTATGCTGCACTTTCAACTCTCAGTTGAAGTCAGTTTTTCATCAGAACATCAGTCACTACGTATCCCCGCATACTATTAACTATAGTACTCCCACGCTCTGTGATGTTATCGTTTAATCGTGTTTGGAAAACCGCAGATCCTGTTCAACCTTAATTCTGAAATTGTCATTACAAGAAAGTGTAAATAAGTTTCTTATTATTCACGAAATACTTCGTATTCGTCTTATTTTTTTCTCAAGATCGACTAAATAATATATCCTATTATATATTTTTTATTAAATTAAAAGAAAAAAGCAAACATTTTGTTTCCTATTATAAATTGTTCTGTATAAAATATATGTACTTCAAATGACATTTGTATCTATTTGTATCTTATTATTGCATTTGAGAGATTACATCTATTCTTCTCATGTTTATATGTGCATACAATTGGAATTTGTTCAAATAACAAAAAATTTGATAATTAATTTGTGCTCCTCTCTTTCTCTCTATCACATGTAAAAATTTTAGTCGTAATCATAAAGCCGTAAGCCAATCACAGTCAAGTATTTTAAAATGAGTGCATTTAATATTACAACCGCTCACTGAACTCTCAGTGAGCTCTTTCATTTGATTGGCGTGTTCCATTTGACCTGTTTGGTCTAAAAATACAGACCAAACAGATACAAGAGTTCACTGAACTCTATCACATGATTGGTCTATATTTTTTTTAAGAGCTCGTTGAGCGCTCTTTCATCTAATCGGCATATTAATTGGCATATTCCAGTAGATCTTAAAATATAGACCAATCAGAGGTAAGTGCTTACTGACCGTTCAGTAAGCGGTCGTGCTTCTGGATGCACCTAATGTATCCATTGCTATGTTCAGCAGAACGTTTATTTTACAACTTGGAAGTTTTTCTTTGCGCTGATTGAATTATACTTTTAGATCTAAAAGAATGAAAATAGAAAGAATTCTATCTCAGCGGACAATCATGAAACGATTGCAAAACTATTGTTTTTTGCTGAACGCAGCCATAATATCGAGAAAAATGGAGGCTCTAATTTTCACTTTAAAACCAATTATAGTTGTTAACCAATCAGCAATTCTTTGATCGAATTTTTGTCCATTTCAAAATGACATTTATAAAAGTCTGCATATATTTTCGCAGTATATTCGGTATTAAACGAATTGCTCGAGCTTTTTTAATTTTTTATTTTAAATTTTTAGCTCCTTTAAGGCAGCCTGCTTAGCAGATGCGATTTTTATGTTGTCTGATGTCGGTTACACCGCCATTTAAAACAATCAGTTCGAGTCTGCGACGCTGACTTAATTTGGCGTGCGCGTTCCTAGATAGAGGAGCGTTCTGTGACGAGGGAAATCACTTGAGCGTCGCAATTGGCCGTTGAAATAGGCGCGCAAATACAGCTAAACTATTTTGTGCGGAATCCACTAAGCCCACGTTCATGTTAGACCCAAATCATCGGAAAAGTGGTAAGATCGGATCGCGTTAGAGTGTCGGAGGTGCATTCGTGATAAGACGACTACGTGGCAAAAGGATACGAAATCAGGACGGATGTCGCCCAGACGAACTCGAGCAGGTGAGACGGACATATGTGTATCTTGATGATTCTCTCCTTCTATTCGAATGTAAGGTTATAGTTTTCTTCGTGATGTATTTTTGCGTTTCTTTTCGTGTGGATTTCGAGAACTCGAGACACTACGTTATCGACTTGATCGAGGAAATTATTCGATTCTCGTCATTGGACGACTTAGACTTTAAGCTCCAAGTGACTTGATCGGCAAAATTGTTTGCTAGAGTTCCGAACTATATAATTTATCATTCTTAGACCCACCAAATGTAAGATTTCCATCAATGTAAGATGAACTTTTATTTCGGTTCAATTTACTTCTTATCTTTTTTTAGTTCTGAAAAATTAGAAAAATATACCTTAAACAAAAATTAAAATTAATCTTACATTGGTGGAACAAGATCTCAATCTTTCTTTTGTCCAATTCTCCAATTATATTACATTAACTTTAATCTTGATTTAACTTATTTTTTATTTTTTTCTAATTTTCAGAATTATAATATATAAAAACCCAAAGTATATAAATTAAATCAAGATTAAAATTAGTTCACATTAATAGAAATAGACATTTGTCAAACAATAATTAATAGTGCTATCTCATTCAAAAACTTAAATATAACAATTATGATACGTAATTGCTAAATTAATTGGAGTTTGATTACAGTCTTATCATAGATTTTTCACAAAACTTTCGATGATTTGAAAGATAGTTTTGAAATGTTTTATTACTTTGCAGCAACGGCGGAACAATCTGTTTCTACTAGATCTAAGACACAAAAAGTAAAAGTAAGCCAGAATGTGGCCAAGTCAGCACAGAAAATCAGACAGTCTCAGAAGAAGAGGAAATCTAATGTTGAGAATAATTTGGAAACCGCTGCTAAGCAAAGTGCCAAAAAAGAAGTGCCAAAACCTGATCTGAAGATAACATTCAAAAAGTCCACAAAGAAGAAATCTATTCGTCGAAAACTTAATTTAAACAAAGAAACAGATACATCTGTATTGCAAGAAGACCAGAATATGGATCTCAGTGAATCAATCAGAATATTAAGAGACAAGCATTGCAACAATATTGCAACGATGGAATTCAAGACTAACTTATTTCAGTATAATGCCTCAAATCGGAATTCAGAGAAAATGCTTAATAAAAAATTACAACGGAATATCTCTATCACAAATGCAAAAATATCGCCTGTTATAGTTACTCCTAAGAGTACACCTCCCAAGCTTAGTCTTACACCACACAGATCTAAAAAGACACCCAAAAAATCACCAATCTCCATAGGTTCTCCAAAGACACACTCAATAACTGTACCGAAGCTATTTAAGAGTCCACGAAAGTTATCTCTTGTTGTAGATGAGGATTCTGAGGAAAGTTTAGAAAAATCAGAGAGTGATTCTTATAATAAGAAATCACGAAAGAGCAAAAAGAACACGCTAGACAATAATTCCAAGTCCAATAAAATTGCATCAACATCATCAGCAACAAAAAATAATCGCAAGAAGTCTAGCTTAAATTTAATTTCACGTAAATTCTCAAAATCTCCGAAAATAATGTTGAAGTCTCCAAAATCGAAAAAATCAAAATCACATAAACTGAAATTATTATCTTCATCCCGGAGAGAAAAGAATCCGTTTTCTGCTAGTCCTAATACTACACCAAATCTCGAGAATGACAAATCGTCCAAAATTAGCTCAAAAAAATCTCCTTTATCCAAGGAAAAGAATTTATCATCAATTAAAAATCCAAAATTAAGTCCAAAATTAACAAAGATATTGACGGTTTCACAAATGAAAGATGTGCTGGCTGAACCAGTAGTGGTATTAGATAAATTATCGTCCAAAAATGTGAAACAAAAACATGTGGTCGCTAGTAAAACTCGAAATACTTCGATCAAAATAAAATCTCCCTCAAATGAGAGGAATTTGAAGGTAATAATAATACCAGTTGAGGACCATGTTTCTGGAGGTACATCTAAGCGAAATTCTAATTCTGAATTAAGAAGTAATAGTATGGGGATACCACGAATTACCACGAACACTAACAGAACATCAAGAATTAAATATAATGCATTAATACAAGGAAAGGCACCCTTAGTGTCGTCCACTCCACGAGAGGAACACATGATATCAAGAAACAATAGTTTGTCTGATTCTATTGGTTCTGTAAATAATATTTCTCTTAATACTAGATCAAGATATAAAAATCAATCCATTATCCTAGCTAATACAATGGATAGAAACACAGACATTGAAAATATATCTTCACCTTCTCTTTTTGATGATAAAGATATTAATAATACTCTAGAAATTAGTCAATTTCCCCTTGTAAATGTCACAAAACTAAACATTACTTACGATAAGGATAATTCGAAGAAGCAAGAGAACCATACCTATGAATTAGAACAACCACAGACACTAAACTTACGACAAATGATCAGCAGAAAGCGCAGTTCAGCTGACGCGAATTTAAGTGTCTTGAAAGATAACGTTAAAAAAGCTAAAGTGCGTTTTGTGGATATATCATCTAACGCAAATAGTTCACGAAACTCAATTAACAAGCTGAACGGATCACGATCGAGTATATCACATAATACTAATGCACAGCATAGAAACAATGTTATGAATTCAACACAAAGATCGAAAAAGACTGAAACTGCAAAATTTATTCGGAGTTCGCTGATTTCTCCTTTCAAGAACTCAAATCCAAGAATACACAGAGACACATCGATTCAGTTAAATGCAATTCAAACACCAAAAACCTTTGCATCAGTTGAAAAGAAATCAGGTAAAATGAAATAAAAAATCGCTTGTATTTTATATTTTAAATTTTATTTTATATTCTAATAACTTCTGATTTATTTTCAGAGAAAAAATCATCGCTGAAAAAAGTACCAAATTTCGGAAGGATACATGAGCAAATGTTTGCTAAATCAGAATCGCTTGTAGATGCAAAAAAACGTTTGGAAGCTAGACATTTAGCGTTCAGTAATTTGATAATATTATTATTCTGCATACGTCGACAACTTTTATAAATGCTAATAATTTTGCATAAATCATTTTTGTAGCTGCTAACCAATCATTTTCAAAAGATAGAAAGTCGGAACAGAAGAAACCATTACCAAGCGACACTAAGGATGGGATTCATAACAGATTTGGATTTAAATTGAAAAAGTCAGAAGCTACGCATCTTATACTGAAAAAACAAACTGTTTTTTCAAGGTACATCACCTTTATTTTAAGAAAATTATTTTATAACAGTTTATTTACAAGATTATTTTAAGAAAATTATTTTATAACAGTTTATTTACAAGATAGTGTATTTATCCATAAGCTTAAGATATATAATTTGAGTTTTATTAATTAAATTTTATTTAATAAATTTTATTGAAGCTATAGGATTAATGATGATGAAAGGATTTAAATGCTAAATTAAATAATGTACTTATAGATCTATGTGTAAGAAACTTTAAAATAATTCAATATAAAATTTTATGAAATTGTGAATATTTGTAGGCAAAAACAGCAACATGAAATGCGGATGATGCTGAAGGGTGTACGAACAAATCGACGGTTTGAATTGCAAATGAAGTCTCGAAACATAAATTCGTGAAGATTGTGGTTTTATAGCATATACCTCGATCTTTCGTTTTGTTAATGTAGTTTATTATATAAGTTTTTTTTTCTCTTGAAATTTGAAAGCATCTTTTAATAATAATTAAAAATTTTAAGAGAGGGAAGAATTTCAAGAAATACTTAAAGTATTTTATTTAATTATATTTAAACACATACAAATATTAAGAAACGCGTGTATCATATGCTGTCCTTTCTTCTTCTAAGAGAAAAACTAAAGAATTTTTCTATATATATATATATAAAATTGATTTGTTACCATATCCATAAATGAAAATTTAAAAAAATTAATAATATTAATCTCCTCTTTTTTAATGTAAAATTTAGGAATAAACAGTTTAAGATCTTTTATAAAATTATGTGTTTTTTGGAGGAATTTTATATCTCAAAATGGAATGAAATTTGGAATTATATTATGAATTTATACAGAATCCACTAAAAGTTCGGAAATACTATAAGATAGCTCGTTAACGATCAATTATGGCGAAAAATATATAAAAAGCAAAGTTATTGGAAACTACTTTACTAAATTTTGTTATATTTGATCATTTTTAAGATATTTTTATTCATTTCTGGATTTTTGGACGACTCAATATACCGGGACAACAAATGATTTAATACTTAATAATATTAATTTCAAATAATTTGTAAAATAACTATTATATATTTGTATAAATTGTTTTTAAGCCACAGATCATTTTAAAATGTATTAAAATTTTAATAAGTTCTGTGTGTTTCACATAGAACTTATTTTCAATAGTTTTTATTTATAAATAATCCATAAGCGCAATAGTTTGATTTATCTGTATAATTAATATTCGCATTTAACTGTAATTAAGCTGTCAATAAGCTGTTATTGCTAAATAAGCTCATATCAAGATTACTATATAATAAAAATGCTCTGGCACATCTTCGATATGAACTGTAAAACTACTTCTCATTATCTCAGAGAATGTAATTTGAAAGTTATTTCTAAAAAGTTTGTTTTTCTTGTGTGTATATTACATATATATTACAGGATGAGCGTATTACTTAATATCTGAGCCATAGCTTTTTATTTATTAATTTTTAAAATATTTTTGACTTCGAAAAATAGCCAGAAAGAGCTATGTATCGCATCGAATGAAAAATTATTTCAACACAAAGAACGTGAAGGCCAGTCGCTTTTTTTTCCTGTCAAATAGTTAGAAAATTAAAATAAACATTATAGCACGTAATGACGGTTTCCCTGCTGAGAAAAATCGATTTCTCTGCTGTAATACAGAAAGATAAATCAATTTTAAATATTTATGATGCACGAGGCCAGAACAAATCTTGATTAAGGCCTGAACTTTCAATTTTACAAGCTAAGAGCTTTTTAATGAGAGTTCTGATAGATTATTAAAAAACTGTATGATTTATATCTGAAATGTTTGCTAAGAAAAAATAAATTTTAAGTAATACTGGTCTTTAAGATTTCTAAAGCTTTTTTTAATGAGAACTCCGACTAAGTAAGTAAGATGGCGAGAAACTTGTGATTGTGTGTATTAATGTTTCGCTCTAAGAAAAAAGAAAAAGTCAATGTAATCTAGGAAAGAGGATGTAGGAAAATAAAACATGTTTGTGTTTCAATAAAGTTTCTTTCTATCTTGTCAAATGTTTCTAATATATTTCCTTTGACGAAAATATCCAAGGAAAAGAAGCGATATGAAAGAAGAATCTTGTTTGTATTTCTCCTTATTTTTGTATGGAATTACTTAATCAGTATTTCTAAGGCGAAACGATGTGTTACGAGGCATTACGATTTTATTTTTAACGATTGTCTTAAATGCGATTTCGAAATATATAGTTATAATTATTTCATTAATTGGATAAAATCTTGAATGTAACCCTCCGAAACTGACGGCAAAATCTGTAATAATGCTAGATCTATAATCCATTTAATTTATGTTGATTAAAAGGCACTAATTAATTAAACCAAGCAACCAAAATGACATAACTCATATAAGAAAGAATGAATACATTTAATATACTGTCTTTCTATCTTTATTATTCATTGAATTCAAGAAAGAATAATGTTTGTGGCACCTAAAAGGAAAGTTTGTGTCATCCACACACAGACTTCTATGCATCCACATATAAGTCTGTGCATTAACAGTTGCTTTCTTTTTAGAAAAAAACAAGGTGCTTTCCAGCAAGAGACAAATGATAGTGTAACATAGTGGATCATTTCATCTTTATTTAATATCGACAAACAATAAGGATATAATGATTCATTGAGCTATACTGTGTCTTAGAATCCATCTTTGTCTTAAGAAACTAAGGCTATTTTTTCTTCTAGGAGATTCAATTTATATAGATTATTCTATCCTTGATGTTCAATTCAATGAATAATCTTTGTTATTCATTGAACATCAAGAAAAATAGATCTTAATCTTAATAAACAGAGCTCTTAAGTAGCCTGTGTTATCTGAGTTTCTTGCTATAAAACCCCCACTGAATGGACCCAATAAATCCACCATCAGCTTCAGAAAGTTAAAGTTGAATTATGATCTCTGAATACCTGGCGAAAAATACGACAGAATTCCTTCGCGATCTTATCATGTCTGAATATTTGCAGATATGTGATCATTTGTGAAGACTGCGATCTTCATCGTAGTTGAGGTGGACACGGTTTGAGAATTCAAGATCGCCGCGAGATGAAACACGTGTTGCGCACGCGCACTCGGTGGTGCAAGGTGGCCACTACACGGGAGCAAAATCGTGTTGGAGTTCGCGGACGGCTGTCACCGCTTTTTTGTGACAGATGTTTTGCGCGATTAATCCGCTTTGTTAATTCGCGATCGCGCGGTCGCGAGCGTGCACGAGGGATACGCGAACGAATCTCCTTCTCCCACAATTTTCACGCGCGGTAGAACCACGCGTCACCGCCCGTCTGTGCTGTCATCGTGTCCCAAAAGTCGAGATCCCGTCGGGAGAGCCAGGAGCAGACAGAGAAGGAGAGAGAGAGAGAAAGAGAGAGAGAGAGAGCGAAAGAGAGAGAGAGAGAGCGAAAGAGCGAGCGCCACCGAAGGAAGGAGAACGCGCCTCATCAAATGTCTCGGGGACGAGACGGTTAGATATCTTCGGTGGTGAGCGAAGAGAGAGAGAGAGAGAGAGAGAGAGAGAGAGAGAGAAAGAGAAGAAGGAGAGAGATAGAGAGACTCGGCCAGCTGGTGTTGCGAATTCGTGATCTCGTCACGAACGCCAAGAAGTATCATCCGCGAAGCGCCAGGAACTCGTGGTGAGCGATAATAATCGCTCGGGGAAGCTCAGCGGCGGCTGCGACGATCCCGTGCCATCATCGCAGCGACAATGGCAAAGACATACGATTATTTATTCAAGCTGCTGCTGATCGGCGACTCCGGCGTAGGCAAGACTTGCGTGCTGTTCCGATTCTCCGAGGATGCGTTCAACACCACCTTCATCTCGACCATCGGTACGTTTGTGTCGGTACACATTTCTCCCCCACCTCCCCGCGATCTCCGTCTCATTTCTACGTTTGTTAATCGCTGCCTACGGCAGCGCGGACCGGGGTGTGTCTCTCTCGAGAAAACGGGCTGAATATTATTTGATAATGGACAAAGAGCACATTATGCTGTGCCATTTACAGTAATGTGATTCATCCTGTGCTGCGTGCTGTCCGACCTCGATCTGCTTTCCGTTTCCTCATATCTCTGGAAAGTAGCTGGAATCTTGATTCATTATTTCCTTCTACGTTTCAGGCATTGACTTTAAGATTCGTACCATCGAATTGGACGGAAAGAAAATTAAGTTACAAATATGGTAAATATACTTTATGTTTTTCCTTTTTGTTCATTATATCAAAATAATTGCAATTTAGTCTCATAAAATCGTATGATTTTATAATTATATGTATGATATTATAATGACATAGATGATTATAATGATATAGATTGTAATATAACGGATGTATTTTTTACACTTGTAGGGACACCGCTGGACAAGAAAGGTTTCGCACCATAACTACAGCATACTATCGTGGCGCGATGGGAATCATGTTGGTATACGACGTTACAAATGACAAAAGTTTTGAAAACATTAAAAACTGGATTCGTAATATAGAGGAGAATGCGTCAGCGGACGTAGAAAAAATGTTATTAGGCAATAAATGTGAGCTTACAGACAAGAGACAAGTGACGAAGGAAAGAGGCGAACAACTGGCTGTGGAATATGGCATTAAGTTTATGGAAACCTCAGCGAAATCTAGTATCAATGTGGAAGAAGCTTTTTATACTCTGGCACGTGATATCAAAGCGAAAATGGAAAAGAAATTGGTGAGGAAATATGAATCGTATCACATACTTCAAGAGATTAAGACGGATTTTGATTGTCCGAATATAGATTACTCTGTAATTAGTACTCATATTTCTGCAATTAATATGCTATAATTAGTATTCATGTTTCAATGTGTAAAACCATGACACATGTAAAACATACTACTACATATAGAGATATTAATAATTAGAATAATATAAATTAGAAAAAGATATGCTTAATTATATGTAAGTTTTCATACATTGAATATTTTTATCTTATATGTATTATAAAATAACCACTGTTTCTTTGTTTCCTGTCTCTGTTTCTCTGTGTTTGGTGCTGGTCTATCTTGGCAGAAGGTAACTCTTTATAAAACCATTGGTTTTATATATCATTTGTGGCTTCTATTCATTAATTTGTTTTAAGCAAATGTCTATTAAAAAGTTATATATAATTTTATGTTAATCAAATATCTGCATTAACTCAAAACAATATTTATTTCAATTATTGTTTGTGTGTCTGATATCAATTTATATTAGATCTGATTTAATTAGTGTACATTTTTAGAATTTCATTTAAATAAGTATATATTTGATATTTAGCTAAAGCGAAAAAGATAGTTTTGGTGCAGGAAAAACAGATCCAATGTCTTGCTTGAACAGTATAGATGTCATTTTAATTTTGCATTATATTACACTAAGCTTGTCTAACACTGAATTTATGTTATGTTATTCTCAATTAACTTTGTGGTAATTTATTTCTAATAATCAAAGAAATATATCACAATGAGATAACACGCATGCTGTGTTATGTTTGCATTATACATGTTTACTAACACATTAACTGCTAGAAGGAATAATAAATAACATTTAAACTGATTATAAACAAAGTATATACAAAATGGCGTGAGATTACAATGGATTTTGTGCACTAAATATATTTTACGCTATATTATGCATTCTATTAATATTGTCTTATTTTACATAGGAGGCATCGAACCCACCGAAAGGCGGCGGTCATCAATTGAAAGCTTCAGAACCACAAAGGAAGCCACCTAGTTGGCTCGCCCGTTGTACTATACTCTGACCCCCCAAATATTTTCAATTGTTCAAGGAGGCGCATCTATTTACTATCATTATTTACTTATGTTCATTTCGTCGAACAAAACCGATGTTTTGTGGAACTTTTCACATCCCAAGTACCGGGTATAGTGGGTTTATTCCTTGACAATGAAACGCATCGTATTAAAGACTCGGAAATTATCTATATGAATGTATTTTTTTGCCGAAGAAACCCTCAGAGGAGAAAGTATTAAAATGTTTTATTTTTATTATATAGAAAGGGAGTACATACCTGTTAATTCATGCAATTTTTACAATTTGTTATGCAAACATTTTCTTGTTATTCAATATAATTAAAGGGACTTAGGTGAAACAGTTTCGCGTTGGTTTATGTTGACAGGATTTATATCCTATTGATGTGATTTATATCCTATCGTATTTCTTAACCCTAATTGATACTCGCTCTAAAATTTCCTTAACTGAAATTTACGGATCCAATTTACTATAATAAATTACTGTAATAAATGCACTTTAAAGTATATCTTTGCTTAAAGTTAATGACTTTTTTATTTGAAAGTTAAAATCCGAGGAATAAGCTTATGTATTTTAAAATTATATACATTGTGAAAAATTATAAACAAATTAAGCAATTAAAGAAAATATCCGGATCCACTGGATTCACGAATATCGATTAGGATTAAAAAGTTATTACAACATAATTTATTAAGTCAGATAAAAATGTCATGTGATACATTAAGCACGAAATGAATTTCTCCTCTGGTTTTCTTATATCAAGGGTAATGGTCGATTTTCTTATTGAAAAATCACTGTTAAGTGTAAAAGTACGTGTTACTTAATTTTTATGGCAATGGGATGAAGTATACAATTTCTTATGCACGAAATTCTGCAATTCATATTTCAATAATTTACATCGTGTGTGTTTCTCTTTATCGGAGGACCATGTGTCTATAAAAGTACAGAAACATACATCACACCGTACAACATCACATACAATGACTAAAAGTAAGAAAAAAAAAATAAGATTAAGCAGTATAGGTATCACAATCGTTTTTATACTGTTATTAAACAGATATAGCTTTTTCACAAAATTAACAGGAAAAACGTAAAGTGTACTAGAGCATTAACTGATGTAACTAAAATGCCTTGTGACGAATTAAACAAAAACTTTATAGAGACAATTTTGTTATATCTCGGATAGTCATAGAATTTCTTATTAGGTCTAAAAAGAAAAAGACAGACGAGCATAAGTTATGCGAGACTTATCTTCCGACAAGATTTATTTTACATATAGAGATAGATTCGTTTACAGGGATCTGCAATAAAAGAAAAAAATAAACAAATCTCTTTCGTTTGCTGATTGTCATTATGTACATCTTGCAAGTTTGCATTTTTACCATCAGAACTTGTTCAACTTATACTTAAATATACAAACGATTATTATAATACATTTTTTATTAATCCTGTATATAATACGTGTTTCAGTATATTTATTGATAAAATCCTATCCTGTTATTCTTTATGTAGATTTCCTATTTTCGAATGCGCATCGTAATTTATGGATTCTTGTGTGGAACCTGTGTTCCTGATCATCATCGAAGCTAGCATATGTTCCAACTCTTTTATTTTCGCTTTGTCCTTTTGATGTATTGCATGTGTACACAAACCCACAGTTTGTAAGCGTTGGTTGAGAATGATAGTGTCTTCGCAGGATTTCTGCAAGTATCGATGCTCCTCTTTAAGTTTCGCGATTTTACTAAAAGATCAAATGATGAATTATAAAACTACAAGATTAAATTCTGATTTTATTAATGTTATCGTTGCAGAAAAATCTATCGTAGAATCTGCCATTAAAATTTCATTCTGATTTAGATTAGAAATGAAGCAAGTATAGGATTAAATTTTAAAGAGATTTATTTTTTACAGCTGGAGTTACTAACATGCACTTTTTTTATTTAAAGTGAAACAGCATATGTTTGAAATTTGGCGAAAACGAGAAAGAAAGTTCTAGTGCAGCGCAGCAATAAAAAACAAACCTTATATATAATATTGCAAACGCCTAAAACTTTTAAAGTGAATCTCGCTGTAAAAAGTGAGATCTTTTAAAAATTGAAAATTGAGCCACTCGTTTTCAAGATTGGCTCAATTTTCATTCTTTAGAATGAGAGTTCATTTAAAAAAATTTAAGATTGAGTGTTTTGTTTAACAATTTCTAGTCGAGTACAGCGAATATTCGACAGGCTTATTCACGACGAGGTCAAACATACTGATCGATAGCGGCGATAATGCGCGAATTGTCATATTCAAGCTTCTTTAAAGCTTGCTCCATTATTTTGTTGCTCGTATCCCTCTGATGTAGCTTCTCTTCTAAGCTTCGAATTTTTATTTTACACTCAGCTTCATGTGTCTTCGCGACTGCGGCTTGACTCATCAGGGACTCGCATTGCTTCGTCATCGCGTCATACTTGATTCGCAATTGAACGCTCTCGACCTGATTTTTCGTTTGCTGTTGCTGCGATTCGTTCGCCACCTCCGTGACCGCTCTCAGACGCATCTTTAACTCGTGAGAAACTCTACGCTCTTTCTCCAGCTCCAATTCCGTGCTGTATAAAGCATGACGAGTTTCCAATAGTTCTTTCTGCGTTGTCTGCAGGGTAATCTGTCCTCGAAATGTACATAATTCATAATATAGCTAATAATTAATTGAATAAACTACTACAAAAAGTTAGTATTTATTTTATACAAAAAGTTAATAACAAGAAAGATTCTCTTCTTTAAAAAGATGCAACTCTTGTTCTAATATTATTACTTTGCTTGATTTGGAAAAGAGATTAAGAATCAATTTTCGAATTTTCAAATTTAAAAATAAAGAATTTTTATTCGAAAAATATTTTTTTCGAAATGAAAACTATAATTTTCATAAAGATAATTTTGCATAAGTCAATCCAATTAACTTAATCGGTAATTAATTTCATTAAATTTTTAATTAATATATTATAATTATATCATAATTAATTATAAATAATACCTATAATTTTACAATTAATATAACTATATAATTTGTCTTCTCTAATATCGTAATCTTTATTTTCGCATATTACACAAACAAAAATTGATTATATCTGTTATCAATAATATATAATAATACTAATCCACATTGTAATGGTTTAAGGTGATTTCGTTCGAATCCCAATTAACTTGATTAATTTAATTGGAATTGCACAATTCTGACTGTATAATTTATCATCCTAATCTTTTTCTTATGTATTAAAAAACCAAACAGTAATTATTTTATTCACATTGACAAACTAACTAATATTTATTAATCACAATTAATTAAGTTGAGTTTGGAGTTCGATCGAAGTCGCCTCTTAGATCTAACTTGCACTAAATATTCTCTAAATATCCTGTGACAGCTATATAAATATCCTGTAATATTTATAAGTCTCTGTGTATCATTAATATTGCTTCGTGTGTTAATTTAGGGCATGTTACAAGTGTATGCTGGGCATAAAAGGGTTAAGTACGCTTCGAGTGTTAATCAATATAGTAAATGGCATTATATTTTACCGTATTGCTTTGTAACTCATAAAACTGTTCACGAAATTGCCGTTCTAATTGAGAAAAATCCTGCACACTCGGCATGTTTTCATTATCCATAATTCGCGACGTAAGTACTCCCGCCTTGGAATAATTATTAAGCAATGCGGAATGTGCCTGAAATTATCAGCTTTAATTCTCGTTTTTTTACGTTTGCAAGAGTTTTCAAATAGGAAAGGATTCGATAGATTATTCAGTAAGAAATTTAATTTAAATAATAAATTATGATATGAGATGACTTGTATGTAAAATTTTATACGTTTTATTTTAATTAAGATTTGCAATATATTTTCGTTCTGAAGCATAATAATTGTGTATTAGTTAATGCCGAATATGTCTGAAGTTCTCAGCTTTACTTGCTTTTGCCTGCAATTATTTTCAAATATAGGAACGCAAATGGCGAGTTTTTAAACAAGCAGTTGACTAATAATTATACTTTATTAATTATTGCTATATGTAATATTTATAAATGAAATATAATATCAATAATTTATTATTAATATCTATAATTTAGAATATTTTTTAATATCCATCAATAACATTTAATATCAATGGATTTGTGAATTTGTTCCAAATACGTGTTGTTTAATTCCGACATGTATCTATTATTTGATACATTTGTCTTATTTTATTATTGTAATTATTATAAAATTATTAATAAAAGATCTGTTAATATACATATAAAATACTTAATCTCATCTTGTTCTACATGTATTATTTTATTAAACTCGTAAATCTTGGCTGTACTCAAGTTCGCATTCGTACTTTATCGTTTTTATTTTTCGCACATAAAATACCTGAATAGTGTCTGAGCATCTCTCCATTTTTCATTCTCATGTACTGTTGCATTAACCTTTCCAAAAGAAACAGAAAGATAGGTCACAGATGCTTAAAACGGGAACAAAGTGATTCACAGAACTTCTCTCGTAATAACAGTTATATACAGAATCCTTCCTACAGGGTGCTTCGTTTTATTTCTTACATTTTTTACATTTATAAATAATAAAAAAAATTAAAAGAAGCTCTCATTAAAATTTAATAGTTTTGATAATGGACAAATTGTATTTAATTTAATAAGCCAATCTTTAATGCATTTTTAATGCATTAAATGTTATTTAATATTTACGAATAGTTTTGAAGAACGACAATGCTTAAATGATATAAGATATGCATAAAATATCTCTTACTAAAATTTAATACAATACTTTAACAGTAAGCTTCTAATTGATACGTGACGATTTACATTATAATATAAGAAGTTTTTGTGACGAATCAATTGTCTCTACAGTTTTTAATGCAATCAAAGACTATATATTTGATATTTATGTAACTTTGAATAGCTAAATAATACTATCTCACAGCAGTTTATGCGACAGATATTCTGGGAATGTCCTCAAGATATTCAGAAG